GAAAATATCAAAACGTATATTCATGCTTCTGTGCACTACCATATGATACATCATTTATACATAGAGTTAAAAGTAAACAAGGAAACTTCTACTCCTAAAATTACTCCTAACCGTAAATACAAAAGGAAAGAAAAGATATGCACATAATTAATAGAATATTCAAAATAATATGTTCGTACACCCCCCTCAAGTTGGAGCGGGCGGATTAAGAACGCCCAACTTGGACATGAGAAAATGAAACTGCTGCGACCCAAGAGACTTGGTGAAGATATCCGCCAATTGTAGGGAAGAACTGATATGTTGTGTAGTAAGAGTTCCTTGTTGTATAAGATCGCGGACAAAATGACAGTCGATCTCTATATGTTTCGTCCGTTCATGGAAAACGGGATTGGACGCGATATGGAGAGCGGCTTGATTGTCACAAAACACATCCATGGGACGTGAATGAGAAATGCCGAGAGATTGAAGGAGACTTTTAAGCCAAAGTAGTTCACACCCCACGGTGGCCATTGATCGATATTCCGCTTCGGCAGATGAGCGGGACACGGTGGGTTGTTTCTTTGTTTTCCATGAAATCGGAGAGCCACCAAGCATCACTAAATAACCAGTAAGAGAGCGTCTACTAATGGGGCAAGCTGCCCAATCAGAGTCATAATATCCTTGAAGATGTAAATCAGAAGTAGCACGAAGCAAAATGCCTTGTCCAGGTTGGCCCTTAAGATAGCGAATAACACGTTGAACTGCGTCCCAATGATCTGTCCGAGGAGATTGCATAAATTGTGCAAGAATATGCACACAGTAGCTCAATTCCGGACGCGTTAATGTTAAATAGATTAATTTACCAATGACCCTTCTGTAGCGTTCCGGTTGAGAAAACAATGGACTCGTGGATACTGCTAGTTTATGGTGTGTTTCCATAGGAAAATCAGAGGGTTTACACCCAGACATCCCGAGCTCATCAAGAAGGTCTAAGGTGTATTTTCGTTGGCATAAGAAAATACCAGTGGAGCTACGAGCAACTTCGAGACCCAAGAAATACTTGAGACGTCCGAGATCCTTGATAGGAAAGCATGTCGCAAGATGCTTTTTGATGGCACCAATGAGAGAGAAATTAGTCCCAGCAATAAGGAGATCATCAACATAAACCAGGATATAACAATAAAATCATGACCCTTGCGTAGGGTAAATAGAGAATAATCAGCATATGAGCGAATGAAACCATAAGAAATAAGAGTTGTACTGAGACGTGAGAACCAACATCTTGGAGCTTGGCGAAGGCCATTGAGAGAACGCTGCAAGAGACAGACCTGGTTAGGTCATTTGGTAGAAAATCCGGGTGGTGGATACATATAGACTTCTTCATCGAACTTCCCATGTAAAAATGCGTTATCAACATCTATCTGATGAAGCTCCCAAATTTTTGCAGCGACAACAGCTAGAAGAGTCCGTACAGTGGTCATTTTTGCAACCGGAGCAAAAGTCTCATGATAATCAATACCTTCTACTTGACGATTCCCACACACAACAAGTCGTGCTTTAAAACTTTCAATGGTGCCATTACTATTATATTTAATCTTGTAAACCTGTCTCTGATACCATAATAAGGACGAAGCAGAGTGGGAAAATATCAAAACGTATATTCATGCTTCTGTGCACTACCATATGATACATCATTTATACATAGAGTTAAAAGTAAACAAGGAAACTTCTACTCCTAAAATTACTCCTAACCGTAAATACAAAAGGAAAGAAAAGACATGCACATAATTAATAGAATATTCAAAATAATATGTTCGTACAAAAATGATTTGATAGATTATTTTTGTTAAATTTTACTGTCTCGGTCCCGTGCTACCTAAAATTTGCATTGAAATTGGCATAATTATTTAGATTATTAAAAATAGAGAAAATTATCTCTCCTATGACTAAAAGAGTATGTCTTTCCCGATATATGACTACATAAAGTTTTATTCCTAGTATATTATTCGCACATGTTGATGGCCATGCATGTGTTGTATTTTTAATTTTAATCCCAGAAATGTCCTCATTTCATTTAAATAAAGAACTGTTTTTCCTCCTAAAATCAAGGACTAGCTAAAAACATGCGCATGACTTAATACGCATGACTAAAAACGTGCATATGATAACTGTTTAGAGTTGTAACCGGCATCCATATTAATGAAAACTCCTAAAAAGAAGGAATTCACAGATAAAAGGTATGACTGCTTCCACTATTTTGAATCTCAAAAGATAATTGCGGCAGATGATCATAAATAAGGAAAATTAGGGCAATAAAATTATGGAAATTATTTTTTACTTTATAAGGTGTTGTTGTCTTAATATTTTACTGTCATAATCAACTTTATGCCATAGTGATTTTTATAATGCCTTAGAGCATCTCCATTCATGATCTCTAATAATCAATTTTTTATATGATTCTTACTATTTAAATATTGTTATGTAATTAATTATAAAATAATATCAAAATTCGTTTATGTCTCTCAATCATCATCTTCAAATCATCTGTTTTTTCTCTGTCCAGCATTTATCTCTATTACATATACTTTTCAAATAATCTTAAAATAATTCGGATTCATATTTTGATCCCAGATTATTGTAGCAAATAATCCTATTAAATAATCTATGTCACTCATTGATAATTCTCTAAAAAAACTGCCATGTCACCAATTTAATCTTGTAATAATCCTCCCAATGAGGATGCCCTTAGTTGTGTTATTCCATCACCTACGCTTAAGCAATTTAATGCCTATGTAATGTTTACACCGCCCGTTTTTTATTACACCACCTTATCTCCCATATTTTTGTAGTGTTGATTACTGCTACTACCTACACGATTTGCTGGTTACATCACTTTAAATCCCCCGATTTGCTTAATTCAAATGCCTACAAGAATTACTGCCCCTCCAATTCTTTACAGACCTATTAATCTCTTCCTTGTACTTGCTGCCCAAAAATACTGCCTCGCTCGCAACTAATACTTCACAATGCCCTCATAATTAATGCCCCAAATTCACATTCTCAATCCTGCTTGGTGTATGCAGGCAAGGAATCCCAATCCTATGCACACACTAAAACGAATTGTTTTTTACCACCACCATGTTGACTGTTATTATGTTGTTGCCCGTCGCCGCAGGGCTGGTGTCCGACTTTATTGCGGCATCAACTGCACCGCCATCACTTTCTTTCTATTCGGCACACGTCGTTCCAACTCCTTTTCATATGCGTCTATTGAAGAAAGGTGTATCCTTCACCTTTACTGCAATAAATGTTAAGAGTCGCACACCTAAAAATTTGTTTACTTTTCGTTTATAAGAAAAAAATACCTTTTCTGTACGCAGACAAACATATTGGGGCAATGAGGTCTTTTTGTTTCGCTGAAATTAGATGGACGGTTATGTACAGTGAATTTAGTCATACGCCCGCTGGACTTTTGGCATCTTAAGTCAAATTATAAGAAAACGTCTTTGTTTTAGTATTATTGCGGTAAATTTCCCTTAAAAATAAGACAATTCAAATATATTTTGAAGGGTAGTTTTTATATTTGATGATTAAATGGTCATTTAAGATTGCTAATTATTTTCTAAAATAGAAATATAAATCTTTATATGGAATTTCAAAAAAGCAAGTGAAACCTTTACATGGAATGGATAAAGTACATATTTTCATATTTTGAGAAAGCAAGTATCATTATTTACACCGGCAATCAGTACAAGAAAAAGCATTATTTGCGTCGACAAAGAGTCGACGCAAAAGGTCAAAAATCGATGTAAATAGTTCTTTTGCATCAACATGTGGACGCAAATGTGTCAACGCTAGTGCCTCGACGCAAAAAAAAACATCGTCTTTTGTCAACGCAAATAAGATTTATCTTTTGCATCCACTTTGTCAACGCAAAAAGGTCTTCAGTCCTAAAAATAAAAATAATAAAATTGACGGGGTCACCAAACATCTCATAGTTACTTAACTACATGTTAGCGTATAACCATTGCAACTAAATTTATATCATTGGATTGTGTATATTAAATTCATAATCATATTGAAGTCCATAAAATTCAAAATCTTAAATTGTAACATTGGGATGATACACCAACCGGTTAAATTAATTAAAGACGATAAAATACACCAATGACATAAATATATTGACCAACTCGTCCATGTAGCCCTGCAATCTTTCCACCCTTGTGAATTGCACTATTGAATGGTTCACCATCGCTCGAACCGTATGGTCCATACGTATTGAAGTTGGTTCAAAATGTAATGGATCTTATCACAACATAGTTGCCCTAAAATTCATAAGTTCCATTTATTCGGGTAATACTTCTCTCCATTTTTTCTCTCCATTTATTATCTCTATTTCTTTTTCACTACATCTCTCTCCTTAGAAATAATACGGAGTAATAATTAAACATAATATTTTCTTTTCTCTACCCCATCATTTTTCCATCTCTCTCTCAGATTTCCACCTCTTTCTATATCAGACAGTTCCATTTACCGGAGGAGCAAAATCCCAGTTATTTGTATCAACGTCTCCGCCTTTCCATCAATATTAATCTATATGATCAATCCAACACATAACTCATTAGTCCATGTATTATACCATATTAGCTGCACCAAAAAGAATCAAAAGAACTGAAGTTGGACGTTGAAGATAAGAATATAACCTCGCTAGTTCTAAAACCGCCACAACCTCCAATTTTTATAGTCTTCAAAAAACCGTTTGATTTAAGGCTAGCGAAATGCAAAGAATCAATAACTTCACCATTAACAACGGTGATCTGCTTTATTGTCCCATCAAACTTGAATTAGTCCAATACCTCCACGGCTCCACATGTTGCCACTTTAATATTCTCAGGCACTGACTCTTTTACTTGCTTAGGGATTTTCATGGAATGTACAGGCAAATCTGAATCCATATTATCATATTCCCAACTTAATTATCTAGTTTAGTACGTAGTATATAATTAGTCATATGTATGATTTGAAAAGGTAAAACTGTTTTGAACATAAAACTTTGACATCATCAGATCATATGCTCTTGTGAATGAAGCAAAAACATCAAATCCAAACCAGTCACACGAACTTACTCCTCATACAATGGGGAATACATGAAAGCAGGAAATTAAAGGCGGATCTAGAAATATGTATTGTGCTGGATCGCATGAACAATACAAGCTTTCTATCCCTAATGAAACACCTCTGTAAAATCAAGAAACAGGGGATGACGAGGGGGAGGAACCATGGCACTGACAGGTGATAACAAAAGGTTGAATCTTTTGTCTAAGACTGGCAAATTGTTTGCAAAGATCACCTAACGAATTGCTGGCGACATAGGAATTGTTTAGAAGACTATGAACCCAACTTCCGGCAAGGCGTTCGATGGCCGGACACCAGACGGGGGCAACCGTCCTTCCGTGGTTCGTTCGTTCACTGTTGATGAGGAAGCATTTCATCCATGTCAGCTCCACCGCAAGCTCCATCATCAACAATTCGTCATCACGCCTGTAGCTAGGCCATTCTAGAGAGTTTAGATTTACCCGCGCCAGTGCCTTCTCAACAGCGCCTTTCGCTCTGTTTATGCTCTCTGCCATGGCTGCCAAGAATCGGTGTATTGACATCTCGAATATATATAGCTGCTAGAAGGTGCGGAGCAAGGTACAGGAGTGCAGGACCGGACTGATTGTGTATTGAGGAATAACAAAGAATATATTTGAAAAAAAATTTACATTAAATTTTTTTATCTCAAAATATAGACATTTTTTTAAATTTGGGTTAGACCGAAGTCAAGGTTAACACTTCCTAGCTACACCTTGACCGTTGGGATCTAGCGGTCTATTTGAATTATGTACGATCTTTTAATTGAATACATGTATTACTATGTATTTTAAAAATTGCTACATTTGACTTTGTTATATGTCTACTACTCTATCTAAATCGCTCATATTGTCTCATCTTTTCTTTTTGATTTATCTCATAAAAACTGTCTCATATCAAATTTGGTAACATTTGTGTCGTTGTAATTCATTCTTATTTTATCAAATCGATATCAACAACATAAATAAACTTTTCTTAATAACCGAATCACATATTCATCTCTCAATGTTATTAAGACGGATATAGTATTATTTAAGGAGAAAATTAGTAGATGTACTAAGTAGTGTAGAAATAATATAAGAGAGTGCGTAAAGATGAAAGAAGAGATAAAAAGAAAAAGTATAAAAAGCAAGAGTAATTGAATATTTTTAACAAGAAAAACTTATCAAAAGAGAGTAACAAACTTTTAAATAAATACCATGTATAAAAAAGAAAAATATAACAAACTTTAAAATATGGATGAACTAATGAGGAAATGAGGAATGCATACTCCCTCTATTTAATTACTTTCTTCCTGATTAAGCTAATGTTTCTATTTTTGTTTATAATATTTGTGTGTTTCTAACCTTGTGATACCTTTCAAATATAATACCAACGTTTCGTTCAATTCTTCTAAACTTTTGATAACTTTTCTTCTTTTTATCAGCTTTATCCTTGAAGTCTTCTTAGAAAATGAGTAGTTTTTAATTTTCAAAGAAAAAAAGAATGACACTGAGGGCCCCAACACCAATCAGACTGTTAGAACCCGTTTGGTAACACCTTTATTATATTCGGCTTATAAGGTTTATATGTCAACTTTTTCACAAAACACGTAACTTTTGGTTTCGAACGTTGAATTGTGTAATAAGCAGAAAAAGTAAGGTTGAGGTTACTTTTCTGGCTGTATTGGCTGAAGTTACTGTAGAAGATCATTTTAGTTATTTTTTAATATAAGTTTTTATTTTATTTATTAATAACAAATATTTTAAATATAAATTTTTCATGACTCAACAGAATCAGCCAATACAGTCACTTCAGTCAGAACTACATAAATTTCAACAGAATCAACCAATACAGCCGATTTAGGTGTTAACAAACGGGCTCTTAGACGGGAGAATGTAAATTGTAAATAGAGAGTGGAGGTCTGACCATCGTACTTGAAAAGGTCATATGCATTTTAGCATATATAGCAACCTCTCATCGCATTTAAGGGATTCGAACGTGATACTATGTATTATGTATTTTAATCAAATAAGTAAAAACAGAGTTATTTGTCCGATTCAATTTGTTGAAGATGAGTGATTGGCTTAGCTATTTTTCAACAAGCTTCTTCCGTTTGACCAATTTAATAGATTTAATCAATTAGATCTGAATTTCAAATTAATAGATTTAAGAAGGGTTAATTATCAAAATAGGATTAAAAGTCATTCACTTTGCATAAATAGGACAAAAAAATAAAATATGTTTTCATAGGACTAATTATTTGTGTCTTGGACAAATATACCCTTATAGCTATTCAAATGTTTTAATTCATAATAAAATAATAAAAAATAATAAAAAATTCGTAAAAACTACTAAAAAATTAATAAAAACATTTTGATAAGAAAAATTTAATTATTTTTTTTTTGAAAAATTAAAACAAAATAAAAATTTTAAAAATAAAAATAAAAATTCAAAAAAACGAAAAAAAAAAATCGCCGCCGCCTCTGCCGCCTCAGCACCACCATCTCCAGTCACCAGAGAAAAAAAATTCATGTTCATTACGAATGCCATATTTTTGGCAGAAAACAATGAAAATGTTGGCATTCACAAAGAGAAATATGCCACTTTTTTGGTATTTTCAGAAAAAATGGCAGTTATTAGAAAAAATGACATTTTTTTCACTGGCCGGAGGTTGTGGTACAAGGAGGTAGTTCACGTGCCTGACGCCGAAACCCTAGTTCTAATAGGGGTTTTTTCCCTTTTCTATAAATAACACCCCCATAACCCTAATTAGGGGGATGAAACTTTAGAGAGAGATTAAGGACGGATTTAGAGAGCTTTTAAGCCTGGTTTATTCAACTCTTTAATATTCTTTGTAAGTTTCTACTTTTTGATCAATGACAATTATTTCTATTTATCCCAATTCTATTGATTCTTCAATTATGAATAGGGAGTAGTTTTAATTAGGGATTTGGGATTGATGAAGGGGTTAATCATGATGGATGGATATATTCTTGATGGTTTGATTGCATGAATGTCGTTTAATTTGTGTTTGAATAATTTAACCGATATCTTTTGTAACCTAGAATCGCGACTAGAATTACAATTGCACATAGAATAAATTAAGAGAGATATAATTTGTTCTAGGACAAATTCACACACACTTAATCGTTCGTTAAGAGATTAGTAGCGATTAAGGGGCCGTAAGCTCGCTCGTCTTGACAATAATTTAGGATCCTGTCGCATGAGAGATATGCCTGGTCCCCCAAGTTATTGTACTCTACGCCGCGAGAGCGGTAAAAACTTAGTATTGATTAGCTAGTCTCAATTAAATTAAATTAATGTAATTATGTCTGATCTGCCAGAAATCTGATTACCCCGGAATCAATCCCTGTTCCCTTCGTCGTTAATCAAGAAGAACCCAATCTGTTATTTTATTCGCTCAGTCGCATTAGTTTAATTTTCTCAATCAATAAATCTCGCACGATGCAATTTTTAATTTCTTTTTAATCGCTGAATTTAGTTAATCCTTGATTCCCTTTTGTCCGTCCTTGTGGAGACGATACTCGTACTTACACCACTAGTTTACAATCTTTTTAAGTGCGAGAAAACTCACACGAGTCGATGCGATCCGTCCAAAAACAAACATCACCATAAACATGAAAATTGGTGAATCAAAAGTTTATTCAATGATGATATTGACCGTCTAGCTGAGGGAAGAGGAAAAGACCGACAAAAGATTGGCCGCTTCGTTTTTTTCAATGAATACACGTCAGAAATGCATTTAAAGGCATTGGTTCCCCATACAAAGTTACTTCACCAAGTCTTTTAGGCCATTACAAAAAAAGTGATCGACTTTACCTCAGTGTAAACTGTAAAGTATAACCCCTTTTTTTATTCCTTCTCCCCTCTCTTCATACTGTGGACGTAGCCCAACTGATAAAGAGGCAGTGCCATAAAGGTTAGGTCCCGAGTTGAATATCGGCAACTGCGATGAGAGGTGATTATGCTAAATGCTAGGGCTTCTGCAAGTACCGGGAACGGAGTCCCACTCTCTATCTGTCAGATTGAGATTATAGTCCAACTTACATCCTCCCAACGTACCGTTCAATCGAGGTTGAGGGGCCCTCAGGGATGGGGTGTGATCCTTTTTTTTTTTTACTAAAATCTCTATTAAGAGAATCGGATCGGGTCGTTCGATCCGTTACTCTATCCACCCGACCCCAGAACCGATCATGTTGAGGGTAATTAAACCCACAAATATGCATTGAATCGAAAATAACTGATGTCCCGCCCAAACCCGAACGAGAGTTCATTATATAATGTTGATCGAAACTTAATTTAGTTTTTTGGTACTCCCCAGTTATATAAAAAATGTGGACTGTTTGTCATTTCTGATGTGTTCCAATCCTTAAATTTTGTTATATTCAATTTTTGTTAAATAGGTTTCTAGGATTCAGGCAGCCATCGAAGAGTAGCATGCCACTATATTTGAAAAGGTAAAATTGAAGACGGACAAATTTAAGCGATGATGATGGAGTCCGGTTTGTCATAGTTTTAGGGCCCATATTACAAAAAAAAAAGTTACAACTTCAAGTGGCAAAGAGGTTTCCGCTTTTGGGGGTTCCGATATAAGTTACAGCTTTTTTGACATTCAAAATGCACTAGATGAAAACACGCCATATTTGTTTGGTAACAAAAATGAAACAATGCAAGTCTTTTTTTTTAAAGGAAAATAACTTATATTAAATCAACCGAACCAAAAGAATAACAAATTCCAAGATCTGAATCCCCCTCTATCCCACCAAAACCAAAGCCTATCGGCCTCTTCACATCATGATCAGACATAGAATAGTCCACCCTATAAAGAGCGAGACTAATCGCTGAAACTGTGAGAGCATAGAGGCTATTAGCGGCTGAATCAGCCTGATTGCCTCCAACAAGTAATTTATCAACTAAAGCAAAACCGCACACCCACCTACCCTGCTTATTGTTCATCATAGTAGCAACATAACAAAAATAATAAAACAGACTGGACTGAAAGTAAAAGACAAGACTAGTAACAAAAACTTCCAAACCCTAGTCGCGTATTTCCTACACGAATTTCCTTCACTTTATATTCTTCCTTCTTCACTTGGAACATCCCATGAATCACCTTCATCTGTTGACCCAAAAATTGTACGAACACCACCAATCTGAAAGCGAGCCGCCTCCACATCCCTATCCACATCAATCTTCTGCGTCCTCGTTCTTCCATGGCCTTCATCCTCCCTTCCGACTTTGACCACACCGGAGCCGATCCCCTGCGCAGACGAAGCAGCCCACCACCGAAGGAGACAACTAGCCAGAAGAAATTATTAATGTTGTTTTAACTTATTTAGCTTGACACCTTTTAATTTGATGATACCGTTCACATTCCGGTGTAGACAATTTCCTTTAATACTTAGTTACACACTTACACAATGATAATCAATAAGAATCGATGACAGTCTTTGGAGAGAGTTGTGCTTTTTATGTCGTTCACTCTTCACCCATTGGTAGTTTTATGTCGCAGTCTCAAGATTAATGCATCATTCTGGATTGATGTTTATCATGTGATGATGATGATGATGGACA